CGCCCCCACTGGCAACTGGACTCCTGCAGGGACACAGGGGCCTTTATTCCTGCCCAGGGAGCAGGAACAAGCTGCCCTTCTCTGCAAGGGCCGCATCCTCTGCGCTAGGTCACAGATGGGCTTCTCTCACGGGCTGTCAACATTGCCCTCTAGACCCTCGCAGGCGGCACAATTCACACTTGTTTCCTGGGAAACAGCAGCTCAGAACAGCAAGTAACCCCTGAACTTACCCAAAGGCTGTCTCTGGGGGACCCTTTGGCCTGAGCGCCAGGGTCAAAGGGGGGTCTCCCATTTTAACTGTTCTCCAGGGGCAAATTTTTGGTCAGGAGAGATGAAGGCGAGTGTGTCGTAAATATAAATCCTAACTAAATCTTTGGACACTTAATAGTAATCAAATCTAAGCATGCAGAGATGTTTCAAAGACATGAGTCGCCCCCACAAAACGTCCACAAAGACGGATTTTCATGAAAAGGGTAACAGCCCAGCTGAGTAGGCTTTCTGAGCGGCTCAACATACTTAGTAACTCTCATTTTACTGGCTGATCCCCTTTGTGGGGTGGGTGGGATTTTCAGCTGTGTTCTACCTCTGGCGTGCCTCATTTTTAAGCCACTCTGCTCTGCAGGAGAGACTCCCTGAAGTTTCTGCTCCCTAAGGACTGCCTGCTGTCCTCCCTGAAACCCACCTACAGGCTGACCCTGTCTCCCATCAGCTGTTATCAGTCTCAGATCTCAGTGTTGCAAGACCCTTGTGAGCCAGATTCCAGGAGCCAAAGGTCATTGCAGTCAAAGCCTCTGACTGCCTTAGAGAAGTCTGGGACCTCACTGGGACCTCATCAGAGCCTCAGAACTCTGTATCGAGGGTCCGCTCTGGTGGCGCAGGAGTTAAAGTCAGTGCAGTCAATCTATTGGTAGTCTCTGTAGCCTCAGTTCAATCCCAGGCCAGGGAGCTGACCCACACAGTGCAGCAGACCTCTCCTGTCTCCCCGCTGCTCCCCTCAACAGTGTGTTTCAGTGCCTTTTCCTGTTCTGCTCCCCACTCTGTCTCTGGTGAATCCTCTCACTCCCCACCATACACCTTTGACCTACACCCCAGTTCTTGTATACATACATACATGCATACTTACATACATACATAAAATCTTAAAAGAATTCTATAGCAAAGTCATCAGGATCACTTCAGAGTCCCTTGGGGTGGGTTAGAATGCAATTCTGTCCCCTGAATCCAAATCGTGTCCAAATCGTGCTTTGGGCCACACGTCCTGGCAGCCAGAGTCTAGTCATCACTTTGGGAACAGCACCATTGCGGAGACAGGCTGGAGCCTCTTCCCAGGACCAGCGTGCAGGCGAGAGGCATGGGCGGGGCTCCGGAGCAAGCCGGACCCCGGGAGCAAGCCGAACCCCGCCTCACACCATGGACAAAACGAACGCAAATGTAAGCATGAAAGCTAGAAGATGCTTAAAAGGAACATGGTATAAACCTTCGTGACCTTCGGTCAGGCAATGTTTATTTATGTGGTTAAGCGGCACCAAAAGTCCAGGCAGACAGTAAAAATTACCACTGGACTTCCAAATTCAAATTTTCTGTGCTTCGAGGCAGAAAATTCACGGATGGAAGATAATGTTTGCCATTCAAACATGACTAGTGTCCAGGACTCAGTATATGTATCTTAAAAATCTTGCAACTCAAACAGGAAAAGATAAGCAATTTAAAATAGCGAAAAAAAAAAAATACTTGAAATGAGGTCACATTACCGAGGGAGGCACAGACTGGAGGAATTATCAGTTAAGAGGCCACAGGCCTGACGTCAGGCCTTGTGGCCCATCTGCACCCCGGCCAATTCTGGTCAAGTCTGCAGCTGTCCAGCCTCCTTCTGGGTGCAGTACTGGCTGGTTGAAGTCCCAGTTACTGTCACCTCGCAATGATGGAGCAAGTCAGAGGCACAGGGCACAGCCCCGTGGGTGCCCTCCCCCAAGGCACCCCCACTCTATCAGAGCCCATTGGGTCCGCTCTCCACTGTACCTCTTCTCTCCCCGCCATCCTGTGGCCTCAATGCCACGCTCAGATTTCTAGGGTTTATTGTTGTCTGGCCCGTTGTTTCCTCTGTATTCCAAATGTCACCCAGTATTTGTGATTCTTCTTCTGGCTTCTTCATGTAGCATTAGCCCTTAGCATTACCTCCAGATTGAAATAGACATTTCTCTAGACATGATCTATAAATGGCCAAGATTCACATCAAAAGATGCTCGAAATTGTTGGACATTAAAGAAATGCAAATAAAAACTCAATGAGATCCCACTTTACATTCGCTAGAATGTTTCTAATTGAAGGGAAAATCAGAATATAATAAGTGTTAAGATGATGTGGAGATGTTTAAGTCAACCCTGATCAGAGTGTAAAATTGTCCAGCATTGTGGAAAATAGTTTGGCACTTTCTCAAAATGTTAAATATAGAGTTACCATAGAACCCAGGAATTTCACTCCTAGAAACAGAATTTAGAAAGTATATTCAAACAAAACTTACAAATAAATGTATTATTTATAATAGCCAAAAATGCAACTGCTCCAAATGGCTATCAAATGATGAATGAAATAGCATTTGATAAGCAAAACATGGTGTGGAATATTATTTAGCCATGAAAAAGAATGAGGCATTGCTACATATTGTAACATAGATGATTCTTGAAAATATTATGCTAAGTGAAGGAATCCAAACATAAAGGCTTCATATTGTATGGTTCTGCTTACATGAAATATTTAGGACAGGCAGAAAGTAAATTAGTGGCTGCCAAGAACTAGCGAGGAAGGGAGAGATAAGGGAAGAATTGGGCATGACTGATGGGAGGTACATAGTCTCTTTTGGGAGTGATGGAAGTTTTATGAAATTCAATAGCAGTGATGAGTGTACAACATTGAGAGTACTAAAAACCTCTGAATTGTGTATTTCAAAAATAGTGAATTTATGTTAAGCAAATTATATCTTAGCTTTTTAATTGTGAAAATTTAAAATCACACAACCCATAGAACCATAAATTATACATAAATAACTCTCCAAGTCAGGGGTTCCCAATCAAAAGGCCCATTAGTAGAAGTCAACAGAATAGACCAGAAATGACCAGGGAAATGGGATTTTTTTTTTAATAGACTACAGTGCTATTTTAGGTCAGTGAGTAAAATACAGATTATTCAGTAAATGGTTTGGGAGACAAAGAAAAAAAGTAAAAGCAATCCCTATGTCATGTATTCTACCAAAATAAATTAAAGATTTCAATGTAAACGAGAAAATAATTTTGAGTATTTGAAGGCTTTTCAGGTGGAGGAAGCAGCAAGAGTTAGTTTGTGGCTATGAAGAAAGCAGATGGCCCCGGGAAGCGGAGGTGTCTGCCGAGGTCATGGAAGTGCTCAGGTCATGGAAATGCTTAAGCAGCGGGAAGAAGGCTCCCCAGGGCAGTCTTGGGGGACCCCAGACAGGAAGTTGAGGGTATGAACTCTGGGTCAGGAAGACTTGGTGCAAAGCCACCCAAAGGACCTCCACCACTCGGGACAAGTTTCTTTACCCCTCAACCATATCACCTGTGATTCCAAGGACCAAGTGACAGATAGGACCCCTCTGGCCGGGGTGAGGTTTGCAAGTAGATGGCATTTCTGCTCTCTGCCAGGGAGATTGATTCCTGCGATGGGGAAAACGTGGACAGAATGTTCTCAAACATCCTTCCCAGTTCTTAAATTCCGTGAGGATAAAAATGGTCCAATTGTCCAATTGTAGAAGTCCGGAAGCGTCTGTTCCCCCAGGCAGCGTGAAAGGTCGTGGAGCTGGAAGCATGAAGCTGTTTCTTTCTAGAAATAGGATGAAAAGTCCTCTTCCTGATCCCTCCCCCGACTTGTTATTGGCAACAATAAAAGTGCTTTGTGTTTGTACCTTTCTCTAAAGGGACATGGGGACTGTCGCGAAAATCCCCCTGCATACAAGGTTTCTTTTGCCTGTTTTTCCCAGACATCCAAGGACTGTGAGAATTTCCAGGATATGAATTATAGTCTTTTACAATATTTGGTCTTCTTCCAGCCCTGCTTTGGACCTTTGACCTTGATGTGAAAAACAGACACCCCTTGTTTCCCCCAAGATGCAGACATAAGCTTTCAGATTGCACCACCTGCTGGTCAGATGTGGAACTCAACGAGGCCCGGAGGCTGCCCCAGGCTGGAAAGGCCGAGTCTGTCTCCCAGAATCTCACTGTGCCCTTGGGAGGTGACCGCTCACACTGTCACTAAACTGAGATGGATGCATCGCTGGACAAGGAGTGGAATTCTAAGGGGAAA